ATTTGGGCTTTCATGTGCCCTAAACCCATTTGTATAATTGGCTTTGAGCTGACATCTTAAATTTTGTTTACTACTCAATTCTTCAAATAAATTATTTGATTATACGAGTTTTGGAAATTAAGATGTTACAACTTAAAACTATAGCCAATAATTGCCATTCACTCATTTCAACCGAAAAGCCAATATACATGCGAATTGACTAATTATAAACGCCCGCACTATCAATGGTCAATTTTGCATTTTTACGTAACCCTCTCTTCTTTGTAAGAGGTTCATTGATTCCGATTTCCGAAGTAGCAGAGAACGACGTACAGGACTTTTGTTGGCTGAAAAAAAGGTACAGGAGTTTTAATTCATAATTTTTCTTATTTGCTTGACCATAGCCTTTCATTTTTTTTAAAAAATCATTCTTTCATGATCACACACTCTTCATCACAAAGTTCATATAAAATAGGATTGCATAATTTCAGTTAAAAATCAAATTAAATTATACGTACTAGGCTATAATATAAATAAATGAAGACTACGGTTCTGGCTGCTTCACTGCTCTATGAAGAGCGACCTAATACATAATAAACTCAAGAGTCAAGACATGACAAGACAACTAGTCTATAAAAAAAATAGAAATAAAATGAAAGACTGTAAAAACCATGTTCTGTAGTCTGGGGAAAAAAAAACCTACGTTACGTTCCTGTACCGTATTACGGGTAAGGTTTTAACCGTTGATATACAAGAATCTTTCAGTACTTAATTATTACACCTTAATAAACGTACATTTGCAATTAATACATCCGCTTCTTTCACGTTTTATGTACCAATAAGGAACGGAAGCATTAATTGCAAATGAAAAATAATATGAAATTTATACATGTCAATTAGAACCAAAAAGACAATATGGTTCATGATCTCCCATCTCATGGTTAAGTATTGTGAGTGACGTCCCTCTTCTCTTTTGTTCGTCAAAAGGTATCCATTCACGGGAAGAACCTTTATAACGAGGCAGAAATAACGCTAAAACGCAACATAAATTAACACAAAGAATTGTATATATCTCGAAAGAGGACAGGCAAACCTTTGATGTCGATCTCGTCTGTTCTGGTTCTGGCCACGTAACATACGCTAAATGAAATAGCATTGAGATATTGGCACGGCTCAATCAAAACCGAAACCCTGGCGGACCCAGAAAATGTTTTCCCTTTCTTCTCTCCCGTAGCATCTCGCTCAGGTTTAGTCTGAGTGAACCAGGCCAATATCACAATAACTATTTCATCTGAATGTGTGGGACACAGAAAGAAGCCAAGCCAGCATGTGGAGAGAAGAGAAGGAAAGAAAGTGAGCAGAAGAAGATTGGGGGGGGGGGGAGATGTCTGTTTGAAGGATGTGAGTGAGTGAGTGAGGCGAGGGTGAGAATGTCTTGGGGGTGATTTAAGAACACTAGAATGGTGTGAACAGTGCATTTAAAACCACGGCTACCAAAGCATAAAGCTGGCCCAGAGCATTTAAATCCATAATTCTCCCTCCATCCATCCATCCATCCCTCCCACTTCACTTTTTCTTTTATTTTTCGGGTGCGCGTGTGTCCTTGTTCAACCATAAATGCCATGGCTGATTACATCTGTTTGATAAAATGCCTACATGAAACTGCTGTGTAATAAGTCAAAACTAACCCTTGTTGCTGGTTCTCAATTTGTAGATCCAGAAGCAAAAGCAATGTGTTGCTTTTGGGTGCATGCATCATCAGGGTCAGAATTATGTCTTGAAAAACTGATGGAGAGGACTATGTGGTTGAGGTTAGGTCAAGAACAGCACAGAGAGGAATTAAAAGCGGAGAGGCAACAAAAGGGGTCGTCCATGATCGTGATACTCGCTGCATTACAGAACCAGAAAGACCACCGCATTAAATGAGGGAATCTCCCTCTGGAATGCACTGCCTGCAACATTAATACCCAACTTACCCGTGAGACTCTCTGCCTTGGAGCTGTCAAACCCCTTTTGGCTCTTTCCTCCAGTCTCCTCTCACCAAAAAGAAAATTTCTTCAACTAAATCATGAATCAAATGTATAACCATACCACACCCATTTATCTGTACATGCAGTTTCATGGTAACATGTTTGCATGTTTATTGATATTTGATCCAGTGAAGTGATGAGAAGTGGGGGGAGCTAGCGTTGACTTGCAGAGTCGGGAAATAAATTTCTCAGCCTGAGGCCTATTGATGTTTGCTCAATTTGGCAAAGCAGAATCTGTGTCACAAGTGGGACTCTTGTTTTAAGCATACATGCTTTTGAACAGTGTTGTGGGTTGGTTGATATGAGATTTATGGCAACAATTAATGGCCCCCTCCTCTTTACCACCTTCTTTTTTTCCTGAGGGAATCTTGTTGCAGACACTCAACGTCTCAAATTACTGTGAAATTTATGGCGAGGAAAAAAGTTTTCTAGGGCGTATCTGTTCACTCCTTTATGGTATCTTCAATTGGAAAACTCAAAAACAAGCCCGAGGGCTTTAATATCAAGTCCAGTAGTAGCGTATGCAGTCGCGGATTGTTTTGTCTCGTAACCATTAACGTACGATAAATAATAAAAGAAACCTGGGGATACTGTTCAATTTGTTCTTCATCCAGAAGCAGTTCGTATCTAGTTTTTATCGTTTTTCTTTTAACTATAACATGGGAAATAGGCTTTGTCTATTTTTGAACCAAGTTAAGCCTGGGACAAAAATTCCGATAATGTAATTCTTAATGAACTCTTTTGAAAAATTTATTGCAAACGCCAGTACCCTATAATTGGGTTTTGGGAATCTGATTTCCTTAACAGCCAAATAGTCACGGAAAAGGCAGATTATGGATAAACTTGTTGGAGCGAGTTCTTTAATTTATTACTTCAAAATTCAGTATCCTGCAAAAAACTCTCACCAATTACTCTTCCAAAACTCTCCATCTCTACACACCTTTTTCATATTAGACAGCGAACCCAAAGTGACCATGAATCATGGAAACTTGCAAGTTATCTGTGCATAAACGAACGCTTGATGAAACTGTCGATGGACAAAGTCACAAAACGAAACGTATTTGCTTTGACTGAGTTTCAAATGTCGAGGGCATTGTGATGTGCTGATGCCAAGAAATTAAACAAGTTCCATCCAAAACTGGTCGATATTTTTTTCTCACGCCTCTTTGTGAGGAATCTTGTAAAGCCTGTAATGACTAAAATATAGCGCATGCAATTCTGGGAACAATAACTAGAGCTATATGAGGTGCATCTGAGCATGTGATAAGTGGTGGTTGAATGATACTGATACTAGCTAGTATACAATGTGCTTGATTTTTTTTCCTTATAATTCAATAATTGTATTGCCTTTTGCGTCAACATCTTGTGGCTACGTACTGAGATCAAAGATGGAACAGTTAAAGTGACAACAACAAGCGAACTCACAGACCATTTGATCTCAATTTTAATTTCCCCCCTAAAAGATAACGATTAGAACTACCGAACATGTGTGAACAAATACAGTAATAAGCCGATCGAGTAACTCAAATGATGATAGGAAAGACCCCACCTTTGTCCATAAATCCGCACTAGCTGATCCTGATCCCTAATTAGTCTACACATAATCCCCATCCTTCGTCTTTAGAAGGAGACAACATTTAATATGACCATTATAGTTTTGTCAAAACTTGAATAGTTAGTTGCCCATAATTAATCACGTGCGAATAACATTTAGATCAAAAGATCAATTTAATAATAATTAGATCTCCACAAATTTTTTTAAAATGAATCATAAAATCCAATTTAAATAGTTGTGTGTGTGTGTGTAAGAATTTCAAATATGAATCCTTGATTTGCAACTGAAATTTTTATATTTACAAATATTTTAAATGATATTTGCTTTTTTTAGTAAAATATTTTAAACCTATTATAAGCTCATTCTTCTTGGATTTGTTTGATTTTCTCGCAAAACCAGAAATAGTTTTGACAAAAACAAGAAAAGTATTTGTTTTGAATCATGGTAAACTTTAGTACTTTCATACATACAACTCACTAGTTCTGGACAGTTGCTTCATTTTCTTTCCACGCAAAGAGAAATTTCTTCCAACTCATGCTAGACCCCGAGAAGCATGGAAAATTCACATTACTCGCCCAATTATTGTTTACTGATTCTAGGAACTACCAAAATTTGCATAATCCTGTATTCATAAAAAGTAGAACTCAAGTTGCAAAAGCTAATTTTATGGGGGTTGCAGCCCGGTTCATGCCCCAAAAAATGGGATCAAAAGAGGCTTGCTTTGAAGAATATTACACTTGAAGACTAGGCAGCGAAGAAGGACGCTTGCTTGGACGAAATAGCACGCAAAGACAACCAAGATAAGCGATTTCTCACGGACAAGATGCAGCCTCAGTGCCTTGTCATGCATGAATACTTGAACGTGAAGGGCATTAAGAAGATGCCTCTATAGTCTCAAATTAAATAAAGAAAACAGAGAGAGGAAGACAAAGAAAGGAGCACTCATTTCTATAAACGTGGCTTAATGGCCTTCCATTGAAATGGGTCAATGCGCATCTGGAGGAACAAGTCACAGCGGACTGGGTGGTTCCTCCATGGACTGTGATCCAGAAAGGAATGGATGCTTTGCCATCGTAAAGGAGCACAAGTCCAGGCTCTATATTGCTAGGAAATGTCTAGTGACGCTAGTTTGCTGGCACAAACATGGCAAGCACTGTAGTTTCCTTTTGTCTTCTTGTTTCTCTCCCAACTGATTCTCACATTTCTCTTTTATTTTATCTGAAATCCATTTTGGTACATTTGACCAGAAATTGAGGACAGTGACGATATGGGGGGGAGTAGTTCATTAGCTTGCCATATTAATTTGCGCAACAACCTTTAGGCCCACACGGGTATTTCCTCCTCCTCTTGTAAATAATAAGTCTACCAGTTTAGCCTTTGGTGGATATGATTATCAGATAATGCATATGCATAATAATGAAAGATCAAACACAGGCTGTCAGAGAAGGCGAAGATAGGCACTGTATCAAACATGAGACTACTGGTCTGTTTGAATAACCTTTAAAAGCACATTCAAACTATATTTGAGATGTACTTTTATCAAATGGATCTTCCAAATATACTTTTATCAAATGCACACTACATTTGAAGTTCAACGAAGACTATATTCACACAACATGGCATCTTCAATGAAGGTTTATGCATGCTGTGGACATGAAAGGGGCTAGTTGGTTCACCTCATGGGCAGCATCTGGTTCAATACGAAGTAGGGACAGCACTTCCTTCTCTTGCTTCTTACAGGCATGTTTGCCAATGAAACATGCCTGCGCATTTGCAATCTGTCTTTTTAAACCCTTGTTGAAATAACAACAACAACAACACCTCACTGCTTCATATAACGAAGGTTAGTTCAGGCTTAAATCGACTTGCTCTGTCCAGCTGAAAGTCAAGTTACAGCAGAAAAGAAATGATCGTCTCGTATTATCATCATATAGTAATAGTATATATTGGCAACAGTTAGAAGGACAAAAAAATATTTCTTTTAGCCACTGTTCGAATGATAAATTCCAAAGATTTTCAAATGCTATTCCTTGAAATAGAGGGTACTTGCCATAATCATAGATCAAATTAGACAGACCGAATAATAGAAGCCCGCGAAGCACAATTGGCCACAGTATCTTGACTATCTTCAGTCGCAGTCTTGGGTTCAATCCCAGTGAAGAGGCATGAAAATTTTTCCTTTCCTTAATTTCTCCAAATTTTATTAACAAAAAAAAAAAAATGATACGGCTGCTCAAGACTGTACAAGCAATATAGGAGAGAACAATAACAAAAGTTCAAGTCCCAGTTTCTACATAAAACATGGACATTTCTTTTCTTCTCATTGATCATTTTGAGAATTGAATACAAAGTACGTGGGCGTTTGCCATTACATATGCATGCATGCACGGGCCAACCTTCTTTCTAGGAGATCTAGAGCAATTATAAACACAACTTATGTACATTAATTGGAATCAACTGTCAACGACTTCCAATACAGAGCTGTGCACCAAATTGTTTTACTAGGTTCCCTCAGTAATACAACTCATTCCTGAGGGTCTTTCTTAGTACATACCCTATCATCAACACCAGACATGTACCAATAAACATGTAGAAAAACTTGGCCACCGTTAACAAACGAACATGTTTAGTCATACTCACAGGTTAAACTACTTTGACCGGTAATAATGGACATACCTAACAAGCTAGTTAGTGCTCGTGCTCTGATTTACGAAGATCTGCTAGTTTGTCTCTCCATGAAGCTGCAAAACCATGTAATTTAGAAGATTTCATAGCGCTACCTTACTTCAGGTAATTCAACAATCACAAAACAACAAACTATAAAACTTGAATACTCAGCGCATCACAATCATACATGAAACATATTCACGGAAAAGCGTATAAATATATCCTCCCGATAATGCGTGCATCTTGTTTTTGGGGGCGGGGGGAGAAAGGGAGAAGGGAGAAAATGAAAAGAGAGAATACCTGCGTCTTTAAACCTTTCCAGTTTAGCAGCTATATTCATATTTTGCATCATACTTAGTTCTTGGGATAGCAAATCTGGGCCATCTGCAGGACTGTAAAGAACATATATCAATGGAACCTTGCCGGTGTGCCCAAAAAAAAAAAAGGAAAGGAAAAGGAAAAGAGGGGCAAAATCAACACTCCCAAGGCCAAGGTAACTAGTACAGAGAAATGATTATGGCACAAATATCCCCAGATAATTATGTAATACCTGTCAAGCAATACATCATATGTAGACTTTGTACTACGCACTCTGCCCATTCCATAACCAAGTCTAATAGCATCAGTTAAAACAATTTGTTTGCTTACATATATTGGAGCCTGTACATATCAAATTGTGAATCAAACAAGCAGATCCGTCAACACATGAATTAATGCACTAAACTAGCTAGGACTTCAGCAAAAGAGCATGATAGGTCCAAAGTCCAAACCCATAACTTCCACCAAAACACAGAGGAAACATAAAATGGGGGACTAGTGGTTCAGAAGAAAACATAACAGTTTATAGACAAAACGATAGAAAAATGAAGGGCAAAAGGAAGGGTATGAGGAAGCAGTTAAAACAGTTGTGAGTGGGTGTATAAAGAGATTAGCAGAGAAGAATGAAGGGTAGGAGAATTTTCGTCAGGATTTGGGAGGGGAGAGCCAGCCTCTTAAAAGTTGGAAAAATTGTTCTGCTCTATAAAGGTCATGTTTGTAACATGTGAGTTTCTAGAGAGGTCTGCATAGCACAGTATTTGTAATACTCTTCACCTTCTGTATTTTAATCCACATTTTTGAGGCCAGAGTCACTTGTATCATCTATGTCAGGTGTCATTTAGCATTCTGTTTTAGGGAGGTGCGTACTTGTATCCTGAAATAATTTATTTCAGTTCTTTTGTGTCCGTGAGTAAATCTGTGGGATTTTCTAGAAGTGAGTGTTAGGGTCCTAACAGAGCATATCAGCTCAAATCTGCCAAGATTTCCTTTCACAATTCAAAGACGTTTATCATACATGAGGAGGCCCGTCAGAGATGTTATACCTTGCATCTATTTGCAACATTAATGGCATCTGAGGGGCGTGCATCCACGCTAACAATGTCATCTCTCCCAGGCTACAGAAATTATCAACTTTAATGAGCACTTTTGTGAATGAGAGAGCAAAATTTAAAGTTGATTTATCTATAAGAATTGGGAAGTATTTAGAACCTTGCTGATGTACAATCTAGCAAAGTAAGTACTGACCACTCTCTTTGTAATTCGCACCATTATAACCTGAGGCAGAAAAAAGAAGCTAAGATTTTCTTAACAAATTAAACTTACACGGAATTTCCATTTGCAAAATGATAGTTCATAATAAAATTAAAATACCATCAGTCACCAAAACAAAGACAAAAATAGGGACCCCAAATCTTTAAAATCTTAAACTAAGGAGAATTCATGGTAAGATTACATAAATGGAACTTGCCAAAGAGATTGTTCCTGTCTTCACAAGGAGAGGATGACAATGTCTGCCATAGCAGCAGCACAAGTTGATGTACTGTAATAATTCTCAAAGAAAATTAATCACTTGGTCCCTGTAGTTTTGGCTTAACTGTAACTTAATCTATAAACTTTGATTTGTTATAACTAGATTCTCATATTTTTGACTTGGTTGTAGTTCAATTTTTAAATTTTGACTCTTATAACTCAGTCTTTATAGTTTTGACCATTTAAAATATAGATCTCTATATTTTAAAAAATAAAATTATAAAGATTAAAAGGGTTTAGTAATTTAAAATATTAGTCCTAAATTTAACATAATTTTAATCTCTATACTTTTATTTTTTAAAATATATGAACCAATATTTTAAATAATTAAAACTATAAAGACTAAGTTGCAAGAGTCAAAGGTTTGATACTGAGTTACAACCAAGTCAAAATTATAAGAATCGAGTTACAATGACTCAAAATTTAGATACTAAATTACAACTCAATTAAAACTACAAGGACTAAATAATTAATTTTCCCTAATTCTCATGCACATATATAATGGGATGGATGTTATCATCTAACATGAAACCTAGGTATTGCTAGTTTAAACAAAGAGAAAGTGCAATGGCACATAAAAAGGTCATTTTATAGCTTGTGATAGGGATAATTCTATGGATATCCTCTCAAGAGATTGACCTTTTTACCATTAGATACACTTTCATAATCTTGCCTATCTCAGGATAGATCTAGTGGTGAAAGAGCTCCATCTCTTCAAAGGTAGAGTTCTCGATAGAATTACCCCTACCCCCCACACGGTTCTTCTGTAACATGGTGGGACTGTTAAATATGGACATGAAAGTAATCATGCATGAGGAGGAGTGATTCATTGTCAAGGACCATTCATGCAAAACCAAGAGTTCCAAGGAAGATGGTATGATGATCTTCAAGCCAAATACAAATCTACTATAAAACAGGATGCTAAAAAGAAGAAAGTGGGCTGATTTTTGGCTGCTGATATTTGCATTATATTACTACATACAATATACATTGAAGTACCTAACAAACAAGCATTGGAAAGAGCAAAACAAATCGATAAAAGGCGATTGATGATAGTCATGGCATCTACATACTTCATGGTCCAGTCTTTCAACAAGATTTTTCACAAACTGATATTGATCTGGGCAATCCTGCAAGATTAAACATGGTCTAATGATCAGTCATGAACAAAAAAGGAGGACCCCTTTGACAAGAAACAAAAAGAATTACCCCATTTTCATGTTCCACTTCAACATCCAAGAGTTTTTCAATAGCAAACTTCCCTGCAGTAATAAAAAAATTGAAGCATATATTACTCGGATTTTTTACAGACGATAGATACAAAAATTAAAAGGTAGAAGTGACTAGCTGTTAAGTTTTTCTTTGACACGAACCTACAACAATTGGCAGAACATAATCTCCATCACAAGAAATCTTGAGAAAGATTGTCGGAGTCTGGAACCGCTGAAAAAAGGTCTGTATTATTATATCAGCATCAGTCATTAGGTTTTTTGCTTGGCGAGATATGGGAACCGAACGTATAGTGGAATTCCAACGTAAATCTTCTTGAAATCCATGCCCCAACATCTGATAGTGCGATATTGTTTCTGCGCTAGTTTAAGTGGTTAAAATTTCAGGGATGCATACACATGGATAGACCTAATTTATCAAAAGAAACTGAGTTACCACAAAGAACAAACTTAGGATGTTGCAAGTTTATTCAAGGGAAAGAAAGAAAAAGAAATCGCAATTAGTACCTATGCTAAAGCATTTCCAGAGGATAAATGTCCTATTCGTGAAAAGATATGGGAGTTTCATTTGCCTACACAACTAGAACTGGGCGCCAGAAAATTTTCTGATTTCATCTTCTATAAAAGATAGAACCACAAATTAACAGTATGCTTCCAAAAACACTCTACATTGGCCAATTTCACGATATTGAAACACATAGGAGATCTAACTAAACCAATCACAGGAATAAATATATCTTAAATAAGCATTTCAAACAGCAGCAGGTGTGTTAATGCAGTTTTGAGCTCAAACAAATCTATCCAGTTCCCGTAGAAAGAATGTATTGTAGTTACGTCAGTTGAACATTTTCTCTTTATTTTGAAGGCCAAACATTCAAAGATTATACATAAATAAACAAACACATATTCAATATATTAACATGTCAATCCATCATAACCAGTAGCTCTTTTCACGATGGGCCTGAAATTTTACTCAAACCTCAAAAACAGCTAGCAATCAAATCGAAGTATCACAGAAAAATTTTCAATCTTTCAGAAGAAGTAGACCTGAGAAAATAAACACCCCAGAAACAAGCTGGGATAGTACCTGAAAGGAGGAGGGAAGCTTCAAGAAATTCATTATCGTGATGTTCGCCAAAGTTGGACCTGCTCCCAGAGGTTCCACGGGAAGAATTACAGGAAATGAGAGTCGATCGGCATCGTGAGCGCTTCATTCTTCTGAATCCCAATTTAAATACCGGGGAGTGAAGAGACGTGGATTCCATTGCAAGTGCGTGCGGAAATGAACGGCCGGTGTTAATCTGATCGGTGAGAGAACCAACTCCAGGGACCGTGCGAACGCATAATCGTAACGCAAGCATTATAAAGCAGATAAATGGCTACGAAGGGGAAACGCAGAAGAAGAATAAGGGGGAGAAGGCTCAGCAGAGAAAGTTCAGTTGAACAGAACGAATACAGATAAATTCCTATTTGATGCAACAAGAAGGAAAAGCCGCAGAAGCGTTGTGCTCTGAGAAGACAGGGTGGCTGATATATATTCGTTAAATTGTATTATATCTTTTTAATATTAATATTAACAGAGAGATGAGATGATGATGATGATGATAGGATCGTTGACGAGGGGAAGAACAGTTTCCCCCCTTTTTTTGGGGTTACATTTCCTTTTCTTTTTTTACACTCACGAATTGTCCCCTATATGTGAATATAGAAAGATAGACCAAGCACTGTATAAGACTAGAGCAGTCTATCTATAATCTGTAAGACGTTAAGCGCATTTAGGAAATGGGATTCGCATGGCCTGATCTTCTTGAGAAGATACCTTTCAAAGCTGACCACCAAGTCCTGTTGAACCACAGCGCAAATAACATCAACTTCACTTTCGTTGTTTTGAAAAATGCAGTTATTATTCCTCTCCATCCATCAGTATAAACAGCAGCAAAAATGCAAGCAACAAAAGCACTCCTTTTAATCTTATTAAATTCGAAGACAGAGCAAGCTTATGTAAGCCATCTCCTAGAGGAGAGGAAATCCATGACATCCGAACCACTAAGCTAATTGACCCATTAGCTATTGAAACCAAAGGCACTTGTAACATCCAATTTTCATCCTAGATGTTAATTAGAATTAAAAATAATTAGAGGGTATTCACCCAAAAAAAAAGTATTTAAGGGAAATTCAGATTGATCGGGAAATGATTGTTCAGCTCCATAAAAGGTCAGACATGCACAGGATTGGGCCCAAGAGAATTGAGAGTAAAACATGAATGGAACTTCTGTGTTATCCACCACAGCATGACACTAAATTTATATCATATTGTGATTTTGGGCAGAAACAAACGAGGAAGAAGCGTGGAAGGCTGTAAAAAACTTGGAACTCTGAGAAGACATCTACAACTTGTTGGACCAATCCATACGAGGAAAACTCCAATTCACGCAGTGTATTGCCACACTTCACACGGCTTTAAACAAGAAAACGGGTTCTCTCCTAATAGCTTATCTATGGGGCGTGATACATTTGTTACGCTTTAAGCTATTTTTTTGACTTGATCACGGGACATTAACATGTGCACGCTGCGATTACGAGTTAGCAGAAATCCAGAGCTAGTAATAAAAATTTAGACGTCCGTGTTAATCGCAGAGACTAAATGAAACTACGCACATTTTTAACTCATGCGCTTGAGTATCGACGGGATTAAGAAACAAATCAAAACCGTTATTGCGGGTTCACACCTTGATAATTTCCCCCACAAGAATTACTTGATTTCCTCCAGGCTCAGACATGACAGTCAAAAAAGTCATAAAATTCAACTCCAACAAATCACCCAGGGTTTGACAAATTTTTCCGGAAATAAGTTCGGTCCCCTTAAAACTATAATCACCTTCATCAAGGAAGGTTAACAACGCACTGTATGTTAATATCAAGCCAGCAAAACTTTGAACATTGATGCTGGCCACTTTAGACAATGATAGGGCCAGATCATAATCTGGGCATGTGGACAAATGAATAAAGCTCGAGCACATCATACAAAAGGGTAAGTGAGGAATCTGGTTTAGTACCATGCCTCTGAGGAAAAATACAGCACTCTTGAGCATAAAGATTTCTTTAACACCACTAAACAGTAGTATAGAAAGCAAGCATCTAACAAAATGGTTCTGTATAAGAAAAGGCGTTCAAATATAAAATTCACAACACTTTCCAAAGTCTTCCCCAGAGCTTCCAATTAATTTCAAGATAATCAGACGACTAGAAGTCTTAAAACACGATAAACCTACAGACTAAAACGATTATATATCACACTTTTTAAGTGCAGACTCGAAAAGTCACAGCATCTTAAAACTAAACAAACTTTGCTGGCATCACCTAGATCCCCGAGCATACTTCCTGTCTGGACTGCCATAAGGAGAGTAAGGGAGGGACCTTGATCTGTCCCCCCGAGATCTTCCACCATAGGGTGAGTGCCGCAGTGATACATCCCGACCACCTCGGTATGGTGAGCGCCTTGGAGACCTACGATAAGTATAGTCATCACGACCTGACCCACCACGGTACCTTCCACGATCGCCACGGTACCCTTAAGAGACATGATAATGAAATTGAATGAAAAAAAATGTTACTGGTGAATTCTTATAGTATTTCAAACAAGAAATTAGATATGCATCACCATAGGAGTAATTAACCTATTCAAGATATAAGGATCTCAAACTTACCATAGTCTCTAGTGCTCTTGAGACCAAGATAGTGCCCTGGTGTAGGAGTTCTAGGCTTTTTCCTCCGTGACTGAAATACAATACATTTCCTAAATATTTAGTTTGAAAGATATGGAAAAATGTTATAAATCATTAAGGTGTCACTATTAGTACAAGTTTGTGCTTGGACCTCAGGGCATCCTTTTAACAACACTAACTTCTTTTGTAAGTATCACTTATTCAGACACTCCTTCTTTTAAGAGCAACAAGGATGAGGGAAAATAAGTCACAGTTATGGCTGAGAAGAAACTAAAATACTTGCGCACATTCACATTTATTTATATGCTAGCCTCCTCAATGATGTGTGAATGTAAGCAATCTCCATATTAGTTCATTTATTATTATTATAAAAAAAAATCTTTAAGTGACACGGCAGTCAACAAATAAAAGTGTATTATCTCAAAACACAAATGCAAGGACATCCAATTCATTTAATATACAAGGAGATAACCTAAATGCAGGTGCATTATGTGTCAATTAAAGACAGATGATTTTGGTTCACTGAAAAAATAGTGATGATGCTAACCCTCCACAGAGAGAAAGTAAGCTCTTCCTATTTCCTGTAATATGTATCCACACACTATTAATGCCAGGCATGAGATACCATAAAAGCTTGATTAGAAAGTTGTTGATAATGTCCGTTGATTATTGGAGAGTTGAAAGTGAATGCTGAGGTTGTAAAGTTGTTGGGCAATATAGTTGCTATGTTTAGTTGATCAGACGCATTTGATAAGCTGTTTAAGCTTGCCATTGATCAAGATGTTTCACTAAAGTTGACATGGGTGAACGGATCATCTTTGATCGCTGCCAACATAGCTGATGCAATGTATTCTGAATATAACCAGAAAACCTTCAAGTCAAGGAGAAAGTAAAGCAAAATTGCCTTATCGCTCACTAATTAAGTGAAAATCCCATTACCTGCTCAACTGTAATATAGCGACCTTCAAGTACAGATTGATTAAGATACTTGATACAGCGGTTCGCATCCTCAACAGAATCCATGGTAACAAAAGCAAAACCACGGGAAATACGTGTACGAGGCTCCACCACCAGAAAACATGAGGCAACCTATCAGAGAAAACAACTATTGATCATGATTGCAGGATTGAAGGTTCATCATTAACTTAATCTGTAAAAATTAAGTGATAAACAAGATAAAATATGATTATGATAATTACCTTTCCTTCCTTAGAAAAGTGCTCTTCTAGGTCCCTCTCAGTAACCCTTGAAGATAGGCCAGTAACATAGAGAGTATTCCCAGGATTTACGGCATCAGTCCTGCAAAATAACAGAGTCAAAATGTTGGGAGCAACATTATTAAACAACATCAGGAACACGAACAGTTACTACTTACACACTAGAAAAGGTTTATAGCAGACTTTGGGGGTTCTGACTAGAAATTAGGGGGGGCACTTTTTTTTTTTTGAGGGGGGGGTGTTGTCTGGAACTAACCTTCCATAACTTCTTGACGTTGATCTGAACGAGAAAGGGGAGAGAGGAGGCACAAAAGTAGAAGTGTCAGGATTAAACTGAAGAACAGCACTGAGGGTCACCAACTTGAACTCTTGAATGACAGGACTTTTTAATACAATTACCACTAACCTGCCGCGGCTTCTTGAACGGGACCTTGGTCTGCGTCGTGACCAGGATCTTGATCTAGAACGAGACCGGGACCTAGCCCTAGGCGGAGTCTTTGACCTGGATCTCGATCTTGACTGGGCTCTCCATGGGGACGGGGACCTTGAAGTCCTGCCACATTCCATTATGCACAGTCGGAAATGCTTATTGAATAGCTTTATTAAGTATTAACCCAGAGCCTGAGTGATGTCTTTCTCATATCCAACACAACTTACGCTTATTATTATAAAAATTAAAATTACTTCATCCCCATATTCAAGCCTAAAAAGTCTCGACAAATGTATTTTCGTGCTTCAAAACCGTTAAGAAATCCTCATCGGACTAGCAGCCCATTCGTTCTTTCACAATCAGGCAAGCAGATGATATACATCCCCCAATTTTAAAATAAACAAGATACAAAAATTTAAAAGATTATAGTCATATGAACAAATCACTAACTAAACATAAAGTTAATATTTGTTTTAAAAGTAAAGTGGACAAAATGAAGAACCTAGCTCTAAAAATAAAAAATTTACTGACCTATCGGCAATTAAATTGAGTAAAAGCGCCCGCATATCGCAAGGAGCGTACACAGAGACAAGATTTAGAGAGGGTTAAAGGAAAACGACTATTACAGCGCAAATAATAAAAAAAAATGCAGATATACAATCTTGCTCCGAAAATATTCAACACGGGGAAAATGTCTAGTGCTCAACAAATATCTCAATCCGAATGCTATGGGGCTTACCTTCTGAGAGGAGAATCCGCCTGTAAATTAATTCCAAAGAAGCGGAGGCAAGCAACAAAACGTTAGATGATCTTCTTCTAGACCCTCACGGCAAATAAGCAGCGAAAAGAGACGCATGAAGATAGAGAGAACTTACCATCTCCGAGATCGAATATCAACAAGCCCTAGAGCTGAAGAAGATGAAGACCAAAGACCTAGGGCAAGCGTTGAGGCTGGGAAGCCGCTAATGCGCCTTTGATTACCTTCCAGGCCATTTTACTTGACCTGTTTTGAGTTTTATTTAAAAAAATAATAATTTTTTAGTTATTTAATTTTCCCTATGTAAATCACAACGTTTTTTTAGGCGAACCCAAATTTACAATTTACGCCAAATAAAATGGATGATAATTATAAAAAAGTAATCATTTAATTTTATAATTTTAACTTAATTATAATTCAATCTTTAAATTTTAACTTATCATAATTGGATCATTATAATTTTAATTTAGTAATAATTTTATAACCAAAACTATTTATAATATTAATTTTTATATTTTAAAAAATAAAATTATAAAAATTAAAATTATGTTAAAATTTAACATTAATGTTTTCAATTATTAAACCATTTTAATTTTTATAAAAATTAAAATTTAATTAAAATATATTTTTATTTTTCTAATTTTATATAAGCTTTTAATTTAATCCTTTAAAGTATTTTTGTAATCTTTTAACTCTAATATGGTTACCTTAATATAATTATTTTTATGTTAATTATTATTATTTTAAAAAAATTAAATGTAATATGTGAACATCTAAGAATATTTTGTCAATATTTTAAAATTTAATATAAAAATGTATTAACATAAAATTAACAATATTAAAATTAAAAGATTAAAAAAATATTTTATAAAATTAACAAAATAAAATGGAACGTCATATGAAGTTAAAAGATTAAAAATATACTTTAATTTAAAAATTTTAAAATGATTCTAATATTTGTAATTTTTTTTTAAAAAAATATAAAAATTAATATTTTGAATGGTTAAAATTATAAAGATTGAATTGTAAGAGTTAAGATTTAAGAATTGAATTATAGTTGGATCAAAACTCAAAAGATTAATAATTGAGTTCTTTAATCCTTTGTTGGCATTTAAAAACAAATACTTGACCAAAACGTTCCTCATTTTTCATTACCTACAAGTTGAAAATTTTAAAAGCATGCACGGAATGATTTTCAAGTAAGCATTTTATATTCATTATTTAATATTTAATTTTAATTTTAAAAGTATTGGAATGTTTAACTATCTCTTCATTAAAAAATATAAAATATTTTTTTGAGATAAGATATTAAAAATATAAAGCATTTGGGTCTTTTAAGATACAAGAGGGTATTTAAAAAGCCCTTAATTAGACATGTAATTGATAATGTTTTTTTTTATGAAATTTTATTAAATAAAAGTGAATATGAAAAGAGTATATAATTTTAAAGACAATTAATTCTCTCATTTGAGGTTTAATTCAATTTAAAATGTCTTATAATAATTTACCAAAAAAATCTCTTATAATATTGAATGAATACATTAATTTGATAGGTTGTTCTATCAAACATATTTTTTAGCCAACTTTGATTAATATTATAAGCTTTTTTTAAATGTGTGTATGTGTATTAAAAATGCATCTTCTAACTTTGGATAAAATTTCATTTTGATGCTTTAATTTTATAAATTATTTTTTAATTTTTTAATTTTAGCGCCATTAGTTTCAAAAATGATAATTTTTATATGAATCATTATTGTTTTTAAAAAAAATTAACTTAACATATTATTAGTGGTTTGAGAGCAGATCATGTTAGTAAAAATTTAGGATTTACTAACCAGATTAGAGCGGAAGCTACAGGATTTGTTGGTGGGACATGGATACTTTACAATAATTATGATTTCATTGTTGATTATATCTATTCCACGTACAGTTAATCCACTGTAGAATTATTGATTTGCATAATAATGACTCTGTTTTAAGCACATTTGTTTACGGTGAAACCACTCATATCAAAAGGAGAATGCTATAAGACTCTTTAGAAGCTATAACATACCTACCTAGCGAAGCTTGGTTGGTCACAGGCGACTTTGATGCATTTCTGAATCCCGAAGATAAAGTAGGAGTTGTACCTTCTATTCACTTTATGGAGTCCTTAGGGGATTGTATTCAAAATTTTGGCCTGATTCAATTACCTGTGGTGGGTGATAAATATACTTGGGAGAAACAGAGAGTTAAAGAGAGGTTAGATTGGTCCTTTGCCAACATTGCCAGGTTTAATAAATACTCCAATTCCAAAGCTATTCATCTTTTTTGATTTAAATGTGACCACAAGGTTGTTACCATTTCCAATGGATCTTCTCTTGAATGCTCTCGGGTAAGGACTAAATTTCAACACCAGACAGCATGGCACCTTGAGGAGGATTTTGGGGAGCTGGTCTAATCAGCATGGGGAAACAGAAATCGGAAAACAAGGCTTTAGGAATTTCAAGATGTGGCTTTAAAATGGAATGAAGAGAAGGTGGGAAGTATTCTTAAAAGGAGGAAGAAAATCCTTCCTACACTTGAAGGTATTGATCGAGCACATCTCCAATGATAATGATGGACTTTTTAGACTTAAGAAAAAAGCTCTGGAAAGAATATATTAAGTTGAATGCCCAAGAGGAACTCATATAGTTTCAAAAGGGTAGATGTAAATGGCTCAGATGGGGAGACAAGAATACTTCCTTCTTTTCATGCCTCAGCGATAGTGAGAAACCATAAGAAGAAAATTGAAGCCCTTCAAGATGACAATGGAACTTGGGTTATGAATAAGGATGGACTAAAGGAGATGGCATGCCAGTTCTTCTGAGGTCTTTAGACTAGGGACAATGATGTTGCTAATTGCTCAAACTGGTTTGTTACATTCCCTCAAATTGATGTCATAGATCTGAATTTTATTTCAAAGGCAAATATATGATATTGAGATTAAAAATGCTGCTCTCTCTATGGGCGCCTTCAAAACTCCTAGTCCGGATGGCTTATAGGCTCACTTTTTTCAAACTCAATGGGCATCAGTGGGAAGTAAAATTTGTGACTTTGTCAAAGAAGTTTTTAGTGAACCATCTAAAGTGAAGGACATCCATGCGACTAATATCGTGTTAATCCCCAAAGTAGATTATCTGTTTACAATTAAGGAATTCCAACCGATTTGCCCATGTAATGTCAGTTTTAAGATTGTAATAAAGATTCTTGCTAATCAACTGATGCCAATTTTGCGTAAGCTCATACCACTTGGACAACATAGCTTGTTGGAAGCTATGTAGCATGGATACTTAACAAAAGTAAACGTACATGTATCCAATACGTATCCAATTCAATACTTGTAGAATATTTCTGCATACGTATCCAATATTTTAACATTTGTGATATGATTTTTTTCAATAAATTTTTACTATATCACTTAAAAATTTAAAAAAACACTTAATATTTTAGTTAATTACTATAAATATCCTTATATTATTTTAGAAATTCTTGTTTAAAAATCAAAATATTATCATGAGCTGCATTTCATCGGCCAACATGAGAGTACTTTGGAATGGTGAAGAATCACGACCTTTTTCACCTTCAAGAGGAGTCAGGCAAGGTGACTCATTAAGCCCCTATATATTTGTCCTATGCATGGAACGGCTGGGACACCTTATCAGGGAGCAATACGATTTAAACTGCTGGAAGCCTCTAAAAATGGGTAATACAGGTCTAATATCTCCCACTTGTTTTTGGCGGATGATCTCTTTCTTTTCACTAAAGCCTTAAGCGATTAGATGAGAGTTATTCGTGAAGTCATGACAATTTTCTGTAGAATTTATGGGCATCGCATCAATCTGCAGAAATCAAAGATGTTATGTTCTAGAAATGTTCACTTCAATAGAGAATTTGAGCTAAGTCAAATCTTGGGAATTCGTCCCTCTCCGGATCTTAATAAGTATCTTGGTTTTCCTTTGTTACATCCCAGAGCCACAAAAGCAACTTATAGTCCCCTCGTCAAAAAATCAGAAAGAAACTTTCTACTTGGAAGAGTAAACATTTGAACATGGCGGGAAGGACTAATCTTATTAAATCTGTTCTTGCAGCAATTCCGTCTTATCTAATGTAGAAAACTCTTCTTCTAAAAGGATTGTTGCATGATATTGAAAAGATCTGCAAGAAGTTTCTCTAGAGCCAAGATCTAGAAAAAAGGAAGATGCACCTCGTTGCATGGGAAAAGATTATGGGTGAGAAAGATGTTGGGGAACTGGGTATTAGAGTTCTTATCAAACAGAATAAAGCTGTTATAATAAAGATCTGTTGGGGATTAATCACTAGACCTATTGCTCTGTGGGTAAGATGTCTAAAAGCAAAATATCAGTAAGGAGATACTCACCTGCCACAAGTGTTTAAAAGGAATAATGTTTTAAATGTTTGGCAAGCTACATGTGCTGTTTGGGAAGAATTTATGCCAGGAGTGAGAAAAGAGATTAGAAGTGGACATAACACACCGTGGTGATAGGACAAACTTGGATCAAAACCTGTTCTCTTTTGTAATTCATAATGCTCAGGAAATTAATCTGCAGGAGCGTGTGAGAAATTATGTGACAAATAATGGGCAATAGAATAAATCTGCCTGGCTACATTATTTACTTGTATGGGTTGTAAATAGAATTATGGTGCTCAAGCCACCAGTCTATGAAGACCAGGACATGTTTAGATGGGAAAGTAGCAACGGATAGACGCTTTAGTGTGAAATCTGCTTACAATTATATGAATAATGAAGGTAATAGAGTGGTTGATCCTCTTTTGAGGAAGTTATGGAGATGGCCAGTACTTGAAAAAATTAAATTCTTTTTATGACATTGACCCATGAGAGACTTCTTACGAATTCCCTAAGAGTCAAGAGAGGGTTTATTAATAGTGCGCAGTGTCCTTTTAAGTGCCCTAGAGAGGAGAATATTATATATATGTTGAGAGACTGCATTGTTGCAAGGGAGGTCTGGAATTTAATTACCTCTCCTAACCAGTTATATGTCTTTTTTGCTGATAATTTGCAGGTATGGCTAAGGAGAAATATGCTTACTCATCCTTAAAAAAAAAAAAAAAAGGCATTCAAATGATAGCCTCAGACTGAGGTGTTCAGCAATATTCGCTGGCTGCTATGGAAGGCAAGATGTACTAGACTTTTTGAAGGGCAAGCAACCTCAGCCAAACATATCGTTCATTCTGGTTTATTCCATCTAAT